GATAAACCTGGGGGTTCTCCAGGGTTTTTTGGGGGACTGGGGATGGCTTTAAAGGGGATAAACCTGGGGGTTCTCCAGGGGTTTTTTTTTTGGGGGGGCATCTCCATTGCTGAGCCCTCTCCTCTCCCCGCTCAGACGAAGAAGAGGAGGAACAACGGGCGAGCCAAGAAGGGCCGCGGGCACGTGCAGCCCATCCGCTGCACCAACTGCGCCCGCTGCGTGCCCAAGGACAAGGCCATCAAGAAATTCGTCATCAGGAACATCGTGGAGGCCGCCGCCGTCAGGGACATCTCCGAGGCCAGCGTCTTCGATTGTGAGCCTCGAGTCAGGGGGGGGGTGTCCCCTAAAACCCCGACCCCAAAACCCCCTCTTGGTGCTCGGTGTCAGCCCACAAAGGGTCAATTTGTCGCCCCAAATATCCCACCTTGGCTTTTCCCCTGAAAACGGGTTCTGTGCTTTTCAAAATGGCCCTGTTGTACCCCCAAAATAGCCACTTTTAACCCCAAAATATGCCAGTTATTCCCCCAAAATAGCCCCGTTGTACCCCCAAAATAGCCCAGTTGTACCCCCAAAATAGCCTCTCTTCTGACCCCAAAATAGCCCCATTGTACCCCCAAAATAGCCCCTTTTAACCCCAAAATAGCCTCTTCTGACCCCAAAATAGCCTCTTTTAACCCCAAAATAGCCCCTTTTGACCCCAAATAGCCACTTTTGACCCCCCGAAAGATCTGATCCTGCTCACCTTGTCACCCCCACAATAGCCTTGGTGGTTTTTGGGGTCCCCGGGGGTGTTTTTGGGGTTTCTGGGGTTGTTTTAGGGGTCCCCGGGGGTGTTTTTGGGGTCCCCGGGTGTGTTTTTGGGGTCCCTGATCCCCGTTTCCCGCAGCCTACGTGCTGCCCAAGCTCTACGTGAAGCTGCATTACTGCCCTGGGGGTTTTTGGGGTGTTTTGGGGGTGTTTTGGGGTTTCTGGGGGGTGTTTTTGGGGTTTCTGGGGTTGTTTTAGGGGTTTTTGGGGTCCCCGGGGGTGTTTTTGGGGTCTCTGGGTGTGTTTTTGGGGTCCCCGGGTGTGTTTTTGGGGTCCCTGACCCCCGTTTCCCGCAGCCTACGTGCTGCCCAAGCTGTACGTGAAGCTGCATTACTGCGTCA